TCTTGAGTTCCTGAGCTGGGGCTCACTTGCAATAAAGAGAGTAAAACATTTTTTCTTGCTTAAAATTACCATAAAAGGAAAATTTTTAACAAAACGGACACAATCAGGAGAGAGTTTTTTTATTTCAATTGGTTTTAATATATTTGTTATAATAGATTACAATTAATTTATTATATAAAAATTGTTAATATAATAACAGTAAATATCTTTTATTTAAATAAAATCTTGCATTTAATGCTCATTGACAATAAAAAAAAAAAACATTTGTTTTTTTTTAAAAATTTTTTAATATGAAAAAATTTTTTTATTTATATTTACTTTTTTATAAAGTATTTAACAAACATTTTTATAAATATTTAAATTTCTAAAATAATTTCTTTTGAAACTTTTATTTTTTATTTTTAAAAAAAATATATATATACAAGAATGGTTATAAGTCAAGTAGCAAGTTTTTGAAAAAAAACGTAAAAGAAAGGTTTTTTATATTAAATCAAAGTTTATATTTGTTAATAGAATTATTATATATTGTTTTTTTAAATAAAAGTTTGGTTTTTTAAATATAATTTTTAATATTACTTTTTATTAATTAATTATTGAATAATTTACATATGACTATCATAAAAATTTTATGAAAAAAATTTTTTTATTAATATATCAATCAAAACAATTTTAAGTATAGTTATTTGTAAGACATTTAACTATATGTTTATGAACCTCTACTGATTTTTGTTAATTGTTCATAAAGTTATAAATAAAAACATAAATACAAGGTATTTAAGAATTTATAAAATTATTGGCTTTACATGTATCAGGTTAATAAATCCATCGACTTAAATTACAGGTAATATTTACTTGATCATAATAATATAAAGAAAAAAAAAAGTTACAAAAACTAATACCGTTAAGAAATAAATTTTGATTGGTTGATCTGAATTTAACCACGCGATAGTTATAAAAATGCAATGACTTAAAACAAAAATGTATATTCTTTTTCCCTTTGTCATCCACAATTTAATAGTCTCGTATTCAATATTTTCTTTTTTCTTATCCTCCTCACTGTTTATAAATGTCTTCTTCCGTTATTTTACCGGATGATATACGGGAATATCATGATCCGCCAGAACAAGTACAAGAAAAAATCGAACAATTGATGGAACTTATTCGCAACTCAAAACATATGGTTATATTTACTGGAGCTGGAGTATCAACTAGTGCTGGTTAATATGGATTCTTATTAATTACCTCTACCATAGGAAAAGTATATTTTTTAGGATATTTATTGATTTTTTTTAACACGATTTGTAGGGATCCAAGACTTTCGAGGTACATTGGATTTGTTAACACGTGATTCTTTGAGAATCTTTCAAAAACAATCAATTATATGACTGATATTTAGTTTTTAAACGAAAATTATTTAAAATAAGGTCTACATGGTATATTTATTTCGTCCAATCCCGCGATATTCTTATCAGACGGTTTATTTCACGTGACAAATAATATCCGCAGGTTATTTGACGCTTGCAAAGCAAGGCATCAAATCAACTCTTTCTGACTTTACCAAAATTCGACCCACCATAGAGCACGTTGCTATCTATAAATTGTTTGAAGCTGGATATCTGAAGCATTTAATTTCTCAGGTTATTATACTATCAATTATTTTTAATGTGATCATACGCATATTTATTAATATCTTGAATAGAACACGGACGGGTTTCATTTACGGAGCGGGATTCCCATTACTTCGATTTCCGAACTACATGGAAACATCAACATAGAAAAGTGTCCAAAATGTGAGCGATCTTATTGGAGGAAGCATGATGTGCGCGATTATGAAATTGAAGTAAAAGGAACACATGAAAGAATTAGACATACTACTTCTCGCCAGTGTGTTTATTGTCATTGTACGTCAATAGTTCAATTAAGTAGTACTCCATTGTAAGTATTTTCACTCATATCTATCTGATATTCTCATATAATAGGTAACCTTAGAGACACTGTTGTCAATTGTTTCGATCGCACCGAAGGACCTCATCTTTTCCCGCTTGAAACAGCTCAAGATCACCTGAAACTATGTGATTTGTATATCATTCTTGGATCTTCACTCACAGTCTATCCCGCTAACTACTTTTCAAAATATATAAATTGTCAACAAAAACCTGTCGTCATTGTCAACCTGCAAAAAACTTCAGCCGATGATATCGCATCCATACGTATTTTCACCGAAATCAAGGATGTCCTTATTCGTCTATGCGAAGGATTCCAATTGAACATAAATTCAGGAATCACCGATCTGGAGACAGATCTAAATTTTAAAGAAATGATTATTATGCCATATGCGATTCGGAAGCTTGATTGCATTAAAGAAAAAACCGAATATTTGAAGAAGAAGTCGGAAACCGAGTTGATGATGTTTTTGACCGAAAGACGAATTGCTTATGAACCGCCGGCAGATGCGAAAATTAGGAAAGATCATTTGGTGGCTACTGTCATTAGGCATTGCAGAAAAACTGTTTATTGGGTATAATTTAACTAGTTGTTTTTGTAGATTTATGCTTAAGTGCAGAATGGGCGATCTTAATAAACCTTAGCATTAAATTAAGATTAACAATGGTATTATTTGGAATTGCATTGTATAAGGTATTGCTATAACCTAATTAAAATTTGAAAAACATTAAGCATCGACCAAGTAAAGCACTTGTTAAATTACATAGAATCATAAGTTTACAAAACTCGGCAATGTCTAATCGGAAGAATTATTTAAGCATAATTGAATACACGATCGCATTAAACATAAAAGAAAAAAAATTTTTTTTTAAATACCATAGATAAGTAAATAATTATCTGAATCAATAAGTTGGTGTTGTATAGAATTTTATAGTCCACATGCAATATGAAAAAAATAAAAATAATTATGATAATTAAATTAAATAATTAAAAATCATTTACTTGTTAATGTATGCTTTTTTATTTTATTTTATTTTTTTAAAAAAAAAACAAATGATAATCGCCACGTATTACAATATAATGGAATTAAAAAATAACTAAACAGTATTAAATATACTTTATATGTTTATAATTACCGTATAGTAAATTTTATTTTCTCGGAAAATCAGATCCGGTGATCAAAATTACTCGTCCGTGGCAGACCTCTAGATCAGATTTAATATGCCGTGTTTTTTTTTTGTTGATTATTGTCCTTTATCTCGCAAAAAAAAAATTCACACCTGTGTGCATATTGTGACGATCCGTGATTTTGTTGTATCACATGTATCACATTGCACGTGAGATGCTTTCACAGTTATCTGTGCACACCATTTCGAAAGCGAATGCTTTGACAATTAAGTAAAATTAAAGGAAAACGATAATATTATTGATCCACGAAATAATAGTGAAGAAGGACAGCAAGATTCTTTAATTTATTAAAAGATCCATGACTTTGTCCCAAACAAAATGTAAATTCATTCTTTTTAAAAATGTGTGTATAATACCCAGCTATTCTATTTATTTATATTATTATTTTTTTTTATGAACGTGCTATTTCGTTCATTTAATTGATTTGCAGATAAAAATTTTGATTATCTTAAGAAAGTGAAAAGAGTGAGTGAGGAGAAGTTTTTGATGCGCTTAATGGTAGTTTCCATAAATTTAAAGCAGTAATCATATATGCAATACAAAAAGAAAAAAAGGCAAACTATATAAAATTTTCTTATTATGCTCGAAAATTGGAGAAATTTTTACCAAGACAAGGAGTAACGTCGAGAGACTATGTTTACGATGCGTTCTGATTAAAGTTGTCGATCCTCGGGGGAGCACAGAAATTTTCACATTAGCTATAAAGTGATGCCTTAAGCTTAAATGCTGGATAGAATTCATAGAACAGTGTGATTTGAATAGAAAGAAATCACTTGAAATAAAGGCGCTTTGGTAGAGAAAACTATTCAAAATCATTTGCTTTAAAGTCCGCATCATTATGAGACGATGCCTCGGTCCACGAGAGTAATATTTTCTTGAATTTCGTGCCACTTTTGAAGGTGTCATGCCAAACACGGTTTTTTTGTTGTGTTCCATCGACGTCACGGACCGAATGTATTTCCAGACACATTATCGTCGAAGCACTATCCCTCTTGTTTCCAAAAATGAATTTTTTAATACTACGTGAGACATGGTGATGATGGTCTTCCGTAATGTTGTAAAGATTGAATAGGATCATTGGTAGTTCTAAAGGAGCTATCTTCTGAGAGTGATTTCTTCTCGTTCGGAGTAAGGAGAAATCAAATTCTTGATCATATTCGACCACAACATTCTTATTGTGTTTCATCCAGTCGAGTATCTCACTTAGTTTACCAATGATGGTGAATTTTGGTCTCGAAGGAGTGAGATGAATTTTATCGAACGTATGTGGTATATACAGCTTTTGTTTTGCGGTCGTGCCTGCGTCAGCAGTATCAACTATTTTCGTGTAATTTCGTACAGGTTAGCATCGAAAACTTTTAAACAATCGCAAGTAGAAAAAATATGAGAGAGAATTACCACATAAATACCCGTATTCTACCGTCATCATGAAAGTTGAGATGAATAATTTCCTCGGGAAGAAAAAAAAATGGATTTTTTCAAAAGAAGGGTTCTTTCATTAAAAAAAAAAACAGAAAATAAGGTTTTGTTTTTTCCGATCCTACCGGAAGTACTAGACTGACAGGACGCATTTATAGTGAAAGTCGCGACGATTATATTGATTAATATTATCCAATCATTACTACACGCTCATACTTGAAATAAACCAAAAAGTGTCCTATTTGGTGAGATAAACGAGGTTAAGCTCTTTTTTAAACGTCTATTCAACATCAATCACTATTGGTAGGCTTTTTTTTTTTTTTTAAAAAAAAAAAAAAAAGTAATAGACAATCCATCCCAGTCATAATCATCCTATTTGCTAACTTCAGTGACAAGAGTCAGACAAGTCTACCATTCTCACGCGTGAATTTTTTTCGCCTTATGAAAGAGACATTCATCGTCTGGTTCTAACTTTGTTTTGAGAAGCGTTTTACATGATGTCACGTTTTTTTACTTTTCTAGATTGAACAAACAAAAATAAAAAATTTTTTTGACTTCTTTGTTTATGGCATTCCCGTAAGATTGTAGATTTGTTTGGATTTATACAAGATACGAACATTATGGCTGTCAATACATTTTTGGCACCATACAGTTCACGCATAGAAAGACATCACGCTAAAAAAAACTTTTTTTTATTTTTACTCCTTTAAACTATAATGATGGCGGTCTGTGTTCCTCGAGAGTTTGATACATATTAGGAAACCGAAAATCGGAAGAGAACAATTTTTGGGAATTAAAAATTCAATCATCAAACAATATCGTGTGAAATTAATAATAGAGAACACTCTCATTTGTCATTTTGCGTACGGCACTAAACTTATTTGAATCATGAATTAAAAATTCCCTTAAGAGGCAAAATCATTGGATTGTCATTATCACATTCACCTACGTTAAGAATATTCCTTGATTGTGCATGTGATTGCGCGAGTCCTTCTTCGGGAACTTACGTGCGTACACAGTGACGTTATCCTAAAACTTGTTCAATCAAATTTGATGTCTTCTCTATATTCGTCGATTAATCAATCTATTCTTCACGGAAATTAGTGGTAATTCCTCTAACCGATCTCAGGCCAGCTGGATACCGAGAAGTCAAAAGAAGGAGGAAAAAAAAGAGAACCGGACTATTTTCCGAGAAAAAGCAACAATATGCGTAATGAGTAATATCTTTCTTTTTTTTCGCGACAAGATATCTTTTGTTCACATCGAGAGATATTAGACACCAATAATAAATCGTTAGCCAAAATGGATAAATGCTGCATATGAAAATATTTTCACAATCGGGAAATATTAATCGGAATGCGGGAGAACCATCTCAAGTTTAGACTCATTATACTTATCAACATGTTATTTCGCACGTGACGCGAAACGGGGCTCGTAGTTCAAAATGTTACGCGATAATACGCACAAAGAAAAAAAGAATAAATTTCCTTATCAAATTGACATATACCATATCTACTTCATTTATATTGTGAACAGTTGGAGAATAGAATAATGCTCGCGATACATGGCACCACATTGTGTCACATGAGGTTACAGCCTCTTTGAATTATTTAGAAATTCATAGTTTGTATCTTATTGAACAGTACTGTGTGTTCTATTATACACTGTATATTTATCCAATAGGCAACAATTTTTATTACTTTGTTTATTATCTATACTGCAAATTATTGCTTCGTTTATTGTCCATTTATTTATATAAATATGGTTTTAATGGTTCCCAAGCATGATGTATCTAATTAAAAATTTGACATTATTTTCAATAATATACTAATATGTAATTGAATTTTTAAATTTTATAACATGAAATTGTAAAAATACTCTGTCGATCTTTTTTTTTTATAATCCAATTGGCACCTTTTTTTTTTTTTTTTTTTCATAAGCACTTTTTTTTTTTGAAACGCAATTCTCTTGACAGCTTACGTCTTTGTGCTCAAGATCGAAATTTCAAAGTGGCAATTTAAAATCATTCATATTGCATCAATGAATTTCAAATCGTAACCACCCCCTAGATTTCGGAATGTGAAACTTTCTGATCACTTTATTTTTCACTTATTTTTTATATTGTTATTTATATTAGTTTGAAATGATAAATGATAATAATAATAAATCATATGCGTAATTATCGAAGTATATATATGCTGTATATTATCCAAGAATACTTTTTATTATGCATACACTATACAGTAAGTACTGTGGAGGAAATTTATAGATTACGATTTACATGTTGTAAATTATTTGTATGTTTCGATTTAACAAAAATATTTACGCGTACATATTTTTCGATTCAGTCATATTCTCGCTAGGTAATGATGGGTTCCAGGGTAAAGTCACGTATATTTGGTGCAAGAAACGATAATCAATTAGGCAGGTCGTATAAGATCTTATGCAAATCCGATTTGCAACAAAATGTCCGTATTATTGAGAAATTGGACTATCCTCCCGATGCTGGGTACACATTAGCCGGAAAGCACATTTAGAACATCCATCACGCAAACGCACACATGACAAGGACCAGAGATGGCATGATTGTGTGTTGAAAAGGGATCGTTCGTGGTAAAAATATTTCCGCAAAGTAGCAATAAGCGAGCAGAAATCTTTCAACGGTCCGATAATCACGAGAAAAAATTCGGAAATCAATACTTGTCCTATCTCGCAAATTAAATGATCGGATTTCCCAAAAGCTTTCCTGATAATGCCGATATTCTCCTCAAACTGCCATCATATGAAGAGCAATAAGTAACGTCATTCTCCAAAATTTAAATGCCAACCGGAAAAGTATTATTACTTATGACCAGGCTCGTGCTCACTTAACAAGGAGATCGTAAGGGAAGTTACATAGATTAATTCAATTCAAGAAGCAGGACACATCATTCTTATCACAAAAAGGAACTTCGACTCACTTGGCAAACACCATTATCCAAACTTTGAGACTGGGCAGAGCAATAATTTACAGCAATTACCTTCAAGAGAACGAAAGGTGTTGTGTGTTCTTGCCCTTGGAAAAGATTTTCCTTGATGCGTATCAAGCAGTATCACGGTAAGTTGATCCGATAGAAAAGGTCATTGACTTTGACTTTAATGACGTCGAAGAGGAATTGCATATACCAATACCTTAATATGAATATCCTTTCAAAATTTCAGCGAGAATTCTATCTATTCGAAAGTTTATGGAAATAGATACTGGTACAAATCAGATGTTATTCCGAATGAGATGCATTCAAGAATATACATGCCATACCAAACAAAGAGCATCGGATCTCCCAATTACAGAAGGCTTATCTCAATGACTATTAAAAGCCAAGCGTGGATGTCTTCCTCAGGAATTACAAAATAGAATAATATTCCCAGACGAAGGACTCCATTTTCCGAATCATAACATACCATTAGTTCGTTTATGCATGGCCTAGATGTTGGAAAATCACGATCACGTCGGCTTGTCTGGTTGACTTCCTTAGGAAGGAAGGAAGGCAGTATGATGATTGATGTACTAGAACCCGTGTCTCTTAAAAAAGGAGCGTCAACATTATTAAGACAAAATCTTGCGATGTTGAAAGGCATTGCCAACGTTAAATGTCACTAATCATGAGACGGCGAGATTCTAGGAAAGTAAATTTAGTGGAAATGCGTGCTCTAAAACAATATCATATAGTAGGGTGTTATGAGATGTCATCTGAATCGTCAACTAAGAAACTTATGTATAAATGGTTTAAAGTTTTCGGAAATTACGAGATGCAGGAGCTAATAATGAGACAATAATTGAAGCCATTATTCGTGAAGATTACAGGAATGATAGGCTCACAATAGTCCACCCATTTGACAAAACATGTACGTCCGTAGAATCCTATTGGAAATATAAAGTCGATAATGTCCAAATTCATTCACTTAAATCTATAAAAGATATCAAAGAATTGGTTCAAAAATAGACCTGATTTTTTTTTTTTTTATAATACACCTAGTGGAACCATTCTGAGGAAAGCGCACCAAAGTCCAAACAGGAGAGGACTTTTCTTACGAAAACGGATAAGATATTAAGAAACGGATATGGTAATTGACATTAGGATTTTCTTCTAGTTCCGATAAGTAAAACACTAATCATACCACTGACAACTCTCGAGAACTCTTCGTTACCTGTTGATATAAATACTAATCTAATTTACAAAACACGGGATGAAATTAACAGCACACTTTACAAATTTGGGTTTTTTTATGTGGCGCTTAAAAATAAACATTTTTGAGAAAAATCATTGTGCATCCTCCACAAAGGGAATCTTTTGTCCTTCTAAAATGATATTATGTAAATTATGATGCAAGTAATATAACTAAATTTCGGATGAATCAGGGACATTCCACTCTATCCATTCTACTCTGTGTACATTCTGTTTTTATACCATTTACGAAAATATGTTGGTTTAGCGTGCGTCAAGCAATATCCCGTAAAGACATAGTAAATTTTTGCCGCAGATTCGCACAAAAAATTTGGCATTATTTTTTTTGAGTAAATTCCAGTGTAATTAACAGCCTGAGTTCGCCAACAAATTTACCGCAAACTAAACCATATCTTTTAATGTACGGACAAACTTATCGCCCCATTCAATATGCTACGTATAAATTTCCTTCACTTCTCATGTGAATATAGTCACAATAAAGATATAAAAACGAGACCTTTCAAGAATTAGATATGAGTTAGAAAAAAGTTATTAACATACCAATCGAGAAGTAAATTTAAATGAACCATGTGCAAAAAATTCAATAACCTTTCCCACAATTACCGGATGCAAATAGTGCGAGCCACTTACAGTACATTATCTTACCCGGTTACTTTTCCACCAATCGAATTAGTTCTCCAAGTGGAAATTCATGAAACAATTTTATCAACCAAATTATATTACCCATACCTCGGACTCCTGCTACTTTAAAGCTATATTCTTTGTGCATATCTGATGAGTT